TGTATTTGTCGAATGACAGCCCAACGTAGTATCACGAAATATCCGCGTAAAGACTGGAAGATTGTGAGAGGTCAGCAAACGAATGCACCCCTGGACGAACGACCAACAGGAGCTGCTCATTAAATATTTTTTTCGCATCGCGTGCGAACCACATACGCATCTGTTGTTTTTCCCTATTTCGATAAAAGGAAGAAAAGAAATATTATTTTCCTCCCTGTTTTCGAGCATCGGTATCGTGATTGCGAATTGCTCTTGCTTTAAATATGCAATGATTTATGCAGGACATCGACAGGGCGATGTATGTCCGATGGTGAATCACGTCCCGGAGATCTTTAGAAAAGTTTTGAAAATGTAGTGGATGAAAAGACTTCGAACAAAGAACATAAAATTAAATTGCCACAAAACATGTATACATGTATACATGTATGTTTCTCTATTTAATATCCGAACTATGTAATATTCGTTTGAATGCTATAGCAATATTTGGCAAGGAATCAATAATTGAATTTCGAGACTGATAAAAGTGAAGATGTTCATTATAAAATGAAACTGAAGTATATTGTGTGACATATTGTAGGAAATGATTTAATAAGTGTCAATATTGGAGAGATATTTATTCGACAAATATTAATTTTCTTCCACGATTTTTCTTCTTTTTATCTAACTTTAACTAGGTGTACATTGTATTTAATTTTTGGATAATTTAGAATGCTTATACTACGCTATTTAAATTATTCTTATTTTAGCGAATATATTTCTAAAAATAGCCTGTGTAGTGTGTGATACGTATTTTTCTACCGAACTATTTACATATTATATTCGATTTTGTTTTATTATACAAGCACTATAATATGGATATGATGTTTTTATTGTGTCGCCAATAATACCGATAAGTATGATCCTGCAGAATTCATAATCTATAACAACGTATGCGTCAAAGAGTTTAATATACTACCATTATATATATATATATATATATATATATATATATATATATATATATATATATATATATATATATATATATATATATATATATATATATATATATATATATATATATATATATATATATATATATATATATATATATATATATATATATATATATATATATATATATATATATATATATATATATATATATATAATGGTAGTATATTAAACTCTTTGACGCATACGTTGTTATAGATTATGAATTCTGCAGGATCATACTTATCGGTATTATTGGCGACACAATAAAAACATCATATCCATATTATAGTGCTTGTATAATAAAACAAAATCGAATATAATATGTAAATAGTTCGGTAGAAAAATACGTATCACACACTACACAGGCTATTTTTAGAAATATATTCGCTAAAATAAGAATAATTTAAATAGCGTAGTATAAGCATTCTAAATTATCCAAAAATTAAATACAATGTACATCTAGTTAAAGTCAGATAAAAAGAAGAAAAATCGCGGAAGAAAATTAATATTTGTCGAATAAATACCTCTCCAATATTGACACTTATTAAATCATTTCCTACAATATGTCACACAATATACTTCAGTTTCATTTTATAATGAACATCTTCACTTTTATCAGTCTCGAAATTCAATTATTGATTCCTTGCCAAATATTGCTATAGCATTCAAACGAATATTACATAGTTCGGATATTAAATAGAGAAACATACATGTATACATGTATACATGTTTTGTGGCAATTTAATTTTATGTTCTTTGTTCGAAGTCTTTTCATCCACTACATTTTCAAAACTTTTCTAAAGATCTCCGGGACGTGATTCACCATCGGACATACATCGCCCTGTCGATGTCCTGCATAAATCATTGCATATTTAAAGCAAGAGCAATTCGCGATCACGATACCGATGCTCGAAAAGAGGGAGGAAAGTAATATTTCTTTTCTTCCTTTTATCGAAATAGGGAAAAACAACAGATGCGTATGTGGTTCGCACGCGATGCGAAAAAAATATTTAATGAGCAGCTCCTGTTGGTCGTTCGTCCAGGGGTGCATTCGTTTGCTGACCTCTCACAATCTTCCAGTCTTTACGCGGATATTTCGTGATACTACGTTGGGCTGTCATTCGACAAATACACATTTAGGCAAAATTATATTACTCTTTTTCCTTTGCACGTATTTTTTCTAGTATACTCACATATATCTTGGTGTACTCGTTAGTACACAAACGACATATGTATTCTTGATATATGCGGAGAGAGCAAGGAGAGATACAAAGTTATGACGTGTAAAACTACAATTAATCGTACGACAAAATTTGTGCTCATCCTGTTCGGTATCTGGCCAGGTATATCGTGCATTACGTTGTGCAGAATATTTTGGACCGTCACAATAGTAATCGTTCTACTTTGCCATTATCTATATTTCTTGACACATTATCATTCTGTCGACGTGTTCGACTTGATGGACTGTTTTAGTAGTTTCATAGGATTCTTGAAATTAATGATCAAGGTTCTTTTCTTTTGGTTGAATCAGCGGTAAGTAGCGCGATACACAGTTAATAAAGTAAATAATATGCGAGAATATATTATAATAAGTATATTATTCTGTGTTTAACAGTAAGACCGTTATTTTATTCCATATATATATATGAATTTGCGTTTAATTAAAATGTAAACTATCTGCTTGAATTATATATGCATGAATTCGTGACATTTATTAAATTTAAAAGTTACGTATTCTACTTATATTTTAATATTCTTCATATGCTCCCTTTCTTTCTCGCATTTATCGTTGTGCTCAATTTCAAAACAAAATTAATAAACTAAGATTTAAATGTGCGATGGTCATTAAATTCGCAACGTATGCAATCATGTGTAGAATATTCAATAAAATTTTAACGATGATGGCGGAAGATTGGAACGATAGCGCCAAAAGTAATATGGAGATGCAGGAAGTAGTAAACAAAGAAAAGATATCGAATCGTATTGCCAACGCAATCATTACTCTTCACACAGTTGTCGTGCTCTTATACGGCATCGGCATCATTCTGGCCAACGTCGACGTCACTGATCGTACGATCGAACTACCCCACATTTACAAAGCGGAAGTTCCTTTTATCATAAACACGCAATACACGTATAGAGTCGTGTTAATTGTGGAATTGGTACATCTTATCATGTGTAGCTGGGGCTTGGGTAATCTAAACGCTTTACTGATAATTTTGGTGAGTTGCACACAAAATTATGTACAATTAATAAACACAAACACATATCCACGTTATAATAATTCTAATAAAAATAGATTTAAAAAATCGATAGATAACTTAATTGATACATATTTTTTTGTCAAATAGGTCGGTTCTGTGTGTTTTGCCAAATTTATCCTTAATAATTGTTACGTTTTTTCAACTCACTATTTGAATACGTATCTTCGTTTTACGAACGGTAATCATCTTTCTTTTTAGATTTTCCACATAGGTGGCCAAATAAATATCCTGCATTGCTGGTTAACGGAGCTGATATCCAAAGAGAATAAACGTGAATCTATTGCCATTACGATGAAGAAAATTATTCGGAAACATCAGAAAATCATTTATTTCGCGAAAAATATTGAGAGCTTGTATACGTATATTGCGTTCATGCAATTTATATCGAACACGATAATGATTTGCCTAATAGGATTTTTAATCATAACAGTGAGTAAAATAAAAGATATATATTAAATATTATAAGTAGAAATAATTATATTTATTCTGCAAAATTAATTGTCACCTGATTAATCGTGCATCGTGTTCGCATCATGTTTTTACCTTATTGATTCTCCTATATTTCATTGCGCCGATAGAAACAACTACTTATACGTTGAATTATTTATGATATAACGTGTTTCGATATTGTAGGCGCTCGGCAATCCCAACGCGACAGAAAAGATAGTGAGAGCCGTTTCGTATTATAGCGTGACGAATATCGAAGCGTTCATATTCTGCTATGCTGGGGAATATCTGATAAATAAGGTTAGTAATAATTATAACGATCTTGATTCTTGTTGAATAATTCTATGATTGTCATGCAACGATTACGATAAAATTCAAGAGAACCGTAATATATATGTAAGATTTCTATATTATATTTTTATCTTCATTCAGAGCAAGGTAATAGGATTAGCTGCGTACAATATCGCCTGGTACAACTTGGAGCCTGAATACAGTCGTATTTTGTTATTCATGATAGTGAGAGCGCAGAAACAATTGACACTTACAGTTGGGAAGATGACGGATCTCTCGTTACAATGCTTTGCAAGCGTAAGATTTCTACGTATTATATAAAATAAAATTTGTGATCCCAACATTTATATAACATTTATCGTAATATGTATATATTTTCTAAATTTATATATTTACTTATTTGTTTTTCCTCCTTCATTACATAGGTTCTTTAAAATACATTCTTGCAGTAATATCTTAAATGTTCAAATGTTATTGTTTCATATATATAATGGTAGTATATTAAACTCTTTGACGCATACGTTGTTATAGATCATGAATTCTGCAGGATCATACTTATCGGTATTATTGGCGATGCAATAAATGCCACATTCATCTCGCCAATTTTCAATTAAGGCTCTTGTATGTGCAATATGTAAATCATTAGAAATAGTTAGAGATGCAAGCGCATATAGTGCATAACACGGCATATCTCGAATATATATGCTCCAAGAAAATAGTTGTATAAACCAAAAGAACTTTAATAGTAGTAAAATAATTTATGAAATAATATACATATATATATCTATTATAGTATATATCTACATTCTCTTTCTCTCTGTCTCTCTCTTCCTATATATATATATCGGTAAAAATTACCACAATATAATGCATTCCTGATTTCCACGAATCTTTCGGCAACTCCCCCATCCTTCTCGACGCGGCCTATGAAAAGACTTCTTCGTTTTTCTCCAGATCATTGCGCATGATTTTAGATGGACTATAAGCCATCGTCGACCTCCGTCCTGCGAGATCGTACATTTTTAATGGAAATTGTGCACGGTACGGCGGAAGAACGGCCTCTCGATTTCCCTTCCATCCGCAAAATCCGGCAATCGCACTGACAACACACACTGCAACTTTATCGTACATAGAACGGTGAAAATATTTAATGATCTGGCCCCTGCCCCGATCGACAGTTGTCGACGATGGTAGGGCTCCTCGCCGGCCCTCGCCAAGTGACCCTCGGTATCTGTCAGTTTATCCGTAGCGTCTACAGGTGCGTGTCTCGTGCCCGTCCATAGATCTGTTCCACGACTGTGTCCAAGACTTTTATGTCCTTTTCGCGGAGCTCGATCAAGTTCCGAGCGTTGTGCGTTAATTTTATTCACCCAACATTCCCTCCCTTGATGACGTGCTTCTTATCGCCCTATATTCTCGCTGATTATTTCATTTTCAGTGAACTATCGATAAACTTGCTCCCTCGATGATATTGATCTGATAATTTACAAGTGTTCTCTCTTTTCCTCCAAAGAGCGATTACACATAACACATCTTTACTTTAGCTTCGCATCGTTCAATAATGTCATAGAGTGTTCGCGTCACCAATCGAGAGTTCGACAATGTCCGCGAATACAATTACCCACTCGATCGAGATCGGACTTCGAGTCGTCGGTATCTGGCCAGGCGCCGCTTACGCGATCGCCAATCGGCTCTTCTGGATCACGACGATGCTAACCGCGCAGATTTTTCAATACCGTCATGTGGTGTTGCATTGTAACTCCGAGGATCTTGAACAGCTGATGGACGGCCTGAGTGAGACGCTGTCGTACAGTTTGTTGTTTGTCAAGTTGATTGTTTTCTGGACGAAACAACGGTACGTCGTTGCTACTCGGCGAATAATGTTGTACGAATCGAACAAACGTTAGATAGCACGAAGTACCTCACACACACACCTGTCATCAGAGCATTAATAATTTAGCGATTCTGTTTCTTTCGATAAAAAAAAATTCAGTACTTATCAATCATTCGTTTTAAGAATGATAAGTGTATTTTTTTTTCCTTATCACACATTTTCCTTATCAACGATTTATTATAATATGTTTTAATATTACTATTTTTCTTATATCGTAATCATTATTACACCGAGATAATACTATCAACGTAATCCCGGTATCTATACTCGTATCTTTCACCCATTTCCTCTTCGTTTCCATACGAAAAAAATAATTTTCTCTAATCACGAGTCCTCGAAGGGAAACAACTTTGCTCTCGCGAAACTGATTCTCCCTAGAATATTCAACGACGTGTTAGCAAGGATTGCGACGGACTGGAAGGAATGCGGAAATGCGGAAGATTGCGGCAACGCCTGGTGCAATATGAGCAATGTGGCCGATCTGTCTCATCGTTTCTCCAATATGATTATCGGCTTGCACTCGATGGCCGTGATGGTCTACGGTATCGGCGTCGTCGTCTTGCGTAGCGACAACGGCGTCACCAAGGATCGCGAACTCTTCCTCAAGATGGAGTTACCCTTCGAGAGCGGCACATCACCGATCTACGAGCTCGTCATGACCACGCAGTTCCTTCATCAGATAACGGCCGCCACCGTGATCGGCGTGCTCAGCGCGCTGCTCGTTACGCTGGTAAGTTAAGCTCCGAAACCCCCCAGGGCTTTCGTTCCCTCTCTCCCTTCCCCTCCCTTCTCTCCCCGGGGGATTTTCAAGTTCCCGACTGAGATTACCTCGAGAAACGCACCCCGAAGGGTGGCCTCGGTCCGCGTTTTCGCGATGACTGGGATTGTTCGTGGCAAATTTTCATCTATTTAGAAAACGTCTAGAAAGAGAAAGTTATTTGGAAGATTTATTCCAAATTCTCTGGCATTAATTTGCAGGAATTATTTTAAGCAAAGTTTATCAGATCTTTTATTCAACCGATGTTAATATCGCGCAAGTTAATTATTATTATATTTTTTATTGTGAATTATCCGTTCTGGTCTGCAAGATTCTGAACGCATCGATACACTTTAGAGATTTGTTAATAAAATCACATTTTCTTAGCAAATATTTTCAGATGTTTTCAATTTCCAAAACTATCATATATGAGGATAATGAGATCAAATTCTTAGGTGCTACATGCAGGCGGTCAGATAGACATTCTACGTGAAAGATTATTAGAGATTTCACCGGGGGGTGAGAAACCGGCTATATCCATGGTCACGATAGGCCCCTTGATCCGGAGGCATCAAAACATCATCGTTTTCACCGAGAAAATCGAAGACTTGTACTCGTATATCGCGTTAGCACAATTCATATCGAATACCTTCGTTATTTGCTGCTTGGGCTTTATCATCGTGAACGTAAGTAACTTTAATAGCTTTCACTGCACAAAGAAAATACAGATCAATAATCAAGTTCGCTTCGATGGCACGCATATCTGATATACGTGTATTAAACTTATAATTTATTAGCGGCGTTGTAAATTTTAAGCATTCAGCAGCTCATAAATCTGATATCTTTGCGACGCAAATTACTGTAGTAGAAAAAATTTGGTCGTGTACATTTTGGTATAATTTTCAATATTACAGTCGATTGGCGGCCAAGAAAGCTCCTCTATGCTAGTGAGATCCCTTTTGTTTTACGTCGTCATTAATTTAGAAGCGTTCATCTTTTGCTTCGCCGGCGAATATCTAAGCGTTAAGGTGGGCAATCGCGATTTATAATTTTATCATAGCAATTATATTTTAGCCCCCTCGCGTTCCGCTTTTGCATTTTGATTTCCAGAGCAAGATGATTGGCGACGCGGCATATGAGTCTTTGTGGTACGATTTGACTCCAAACGAGAGTCGAATCCTACTGTTTCTGATAATGAGATCGCAAAAGCAACTGACAATCACGGTCGGCAGGTTCATGAACCTCTCTATGCAACAGTTCGCAAACGTAAGCATTGTTATTGATCGTATTAATATGAGATTATGCGTTAAAGCTTTGCATGTTACACACATAGAGAAATTCTGTTCCGAATTTTGTGTCGCGGATTGTAGAGATCATCGAAATGAACTTTAATTCGTAACCGCAAAATTAAATTGATTTCTTTTATGCACTGTAGCTGTGTTGTCTGCCATAGATTATTAAATCATCGGCGTCATATGTCTCCGTACTTCACGCGTTGTAACGAGGACCACATAACCGTCAGTATCGACGTATAATGATATATCGCCGACGTTAACGTATCGCTGCAAAAATTGCTAACGTAAGAGTTGCGAAGATTACTCTATTAATAAAAGTCAATTATGAGGTCATAATAAAATTACTCGTTTAGTTATTTTACTCGTCGGAAATATCGCGATAATATTTACGCAAACGTTGTTAAACGCGTATGCGAGTTTACCGTCGAGACTACGATGTTGCTCCTTGAACGAAGAGAAAAATATTTTTCTCGTAAGGTTGAAGGCTCGTCACGGGCTTTCATCCCCCTGAAAGAAGTTTGGAACGTCGTTCCGCGCTAAATTGCGGAAGTTGCCTCGACGCAGCGAGGGGTGGCTCTTTCCCCTTTATACTCGTTGTATCCGTCTACCGTATATACATATATATATGTATCCCGTTCGCTTTGGCGATATCGCACAATCGTGCCAGATGGCCGACGAACAGATCGCAGGGCAGCGATCGTCAACGAAATTATACTGGGATTACTTAGCGCTATTTCGCGCATATAATCAGAATGCTTTCACGCAGCAACTCGCCCCGAAGGGACTGTTTTATTTGAGGCGACTGTGTCTCTGTGTGAGCAAGAGTTGCAGTAATCTTATCGTCCCTCGCGACCGTTCAATTTGCAAACTTGGAGTTAACGCTCTGTTAACGGACAAGCAGAGTTTATATGTGTTATGTCTGGCAGAAATATACATCTCACCGCATGTTGAGGTAATGTATATATGTATATATAGAGCAGTAAGCAACGCAATTTTCTGTTCTTTTCATATACAATTTCCGGTCCGTCGGAAAATTCTAGTAAATTTTCCAAAACAAAGATCTTTAACTTTTATATACTGTTATTTATCATTATATTTGAAATTATATTGCTATCGAAATGTAAAATATATAATCATTTATCACATACGTATTTTGCGTCAAATTGTATTCAAAAATTGTATTCTTTTAAAATTACTTCTAATATTATATAGCTTATATTTAAAGACATTTTGAAAAAATAAAATATATTTTTTTACAGAAATTTTCTTCGCAAATTTATTTCGTGTAGATAAGCATAGTTGCAATCTTTAACTCTGCAAACTTTTATTCCCGGTTATACTATAATCGCTGTAGAAATATCGACTTTCTAAACTTTGAAAATTATATCCCGACAATGTAAATCATGAATTTTCGCTTACGTCGAATTCCGAATAACGGCGATGTCATCCCATTTTACTAAGTATAAAATTATCGGCGTCGTCGTAAATTCCTTCTCAAGTTCCTCATCGCAGCCTCACGAGAATCCTTGATTTTCCATTCATAGCCACGTCAGCATATCAACTTTCTTACATAAATTTATTAACGTACTTTTACATACGCGACAGTATACCAAACGAGAAATTGATATCGGGAAAAAACTGCTAACGTTTATAAGCAATATTTTTTTTAAAAAGATTATATATTTAAATACACGACAGATACGCGTTCTGAAAAAATAATAAGTTAGATCTATGCATCTTTTTGTTATATATCTATCAGCATTTTTCAATTTTTTACAATTTTTTTAGCAAGTCTATAAAAAATGGATCTATTCATAGATACATTTGTTTCTCTATACGTATATTTTTCTACTATACACAATCAAATAGTACAATTTATAGTATTAGATATTCCAAATAATATTGAAAAAACTACGTAAATAATTTTCTATGCATTTCACTTTTATGATAAATATTTCCATATATATCATATATAAATTCTAACATTTGTTTCATTTCATAAAAAACACAGAGATGCTTTGGCGCTTGTTGTTATAAAATACAATCACGATTCGAGACCAAAATTAATCCTACCGGATTAAATACCTTACTCAAATTCAATCGCACGACAAGGTAATTTGATAAGGTCAAAGGAAACCTACTCTCTAACAATTTTATTTCTTTATCGAGTCTCCAGCAGGTGGAGATTTCGCGCACGAATTGCCGCAGATAATAAATAGATCGGTCGTTTTTAACTTTTTGACGTTTAGAAGCGGTACGATTTTCCGGGATGAAAGCTGCGTCAGTGGCGGCAGGAACGGCGACGGTGGTGGCGGTGGCGGCGGCGACGACTTCCCCGGGCCGAGCGAATTGGTCTCCATGGAAACCATCCCGAAGCCAATCCGGGGTGCATTCGTACGTACATTTACCCTTGTCGTAGCGCGTCTGCAACCCTCGCTTCTCTCCCCCTCACGCCGCCCGCCGTCTCTATAAACCTGCACCCTCTCTCGCTCTCATCTCCCGCAGAGCTCTCTCCGCTCTCTCCCGACTCTTTTCCGTCTGTTTCTCGGTTCAGGTTGCTCTTTCGTCCGCAATTCCTCACCGTTTTCCTCCCTTTTCGCTCATTTTATTTATTCTCTTTGCTATCCACTTTCGTTGTCTTGCCTGTGCATGATCTTGCTTCGCTCTTCTTTATTTCGTCACCCAATTTCAAGAATAAGTGTCGATCCGTTTAAACATTTTTGTCGACATTTTTATTCCGGGGACAACAAATATCCGCGAACAGAAATAATATAAAAAGAGATCGGATTTGTCTGTGCTTAATATGCGCTAATTTTATAATTGAATAAACTTTTTACGTCAAAATATTGTACTTTTCAACACGTTGAAATTATTCCAGTGTATCATTTTTATCGAGTGGAAAGAATAGCATTTCAATGCGCGCTCTTTTGAGAAACAATTTAAACATTCCGTACAATAGAAAACTTTCAGCGAATCTTCTCCTTTATAGCGACGTTGTCGCATTGTAGAAGAACACACAAGATATTAAAAACTTTATATTTTCGAACAAAATGTTCAAATGCGTCTTGTCTCTTATGTACTTTCTCTCTCTATTTTCCCCTTAAATGTAACTTTCTGTGTTAAAATTGTTACATTATTGTTATTTTGCTACTAAAGGATTCTTTTGTAATATCAGTTACTTATCATAATATTCATTGTTTCTCTTTGCTATTTCTTTCTCTTTCCAAATCCCCGATTCTTCCAGCTATCTCTTTAGTTTATGACTATTGCATTCGCGTATATTGCTGCTATATGCTGTTTTTATTCCAGTCTATAAGACTGATTGCTAGATTCATAAAGTGACGATATAACGTATCGATCGCGTTACATAACTCTACAAATATTATTACGTGTTCCCATTACTCCTACTCCAAATACTCAACAGTCCGATAATGCCGTAAGGGCATATTTCCTTAACTACACCATAATGTTCAAGTCTGACGAACTAGGCGACGCGTTATATTCTTGTCAAGAGAACGCGATATAAACTTCATTTAGAAGCTGTTGTATTATAATACACAACAAATCTTACTAAGATATACAATTTAGATTTATTTAATTAAAATTAAAGTTTTTGAAGTAAAAATAAAAAGTTTACTAAAATTGGTAAATTAATTTATAATAAGTAAAACTCCTTGACAAATTGTTTTTGCTTGTAAGAAATCTTAAAGAGTGTCACAGTGATTGCAATTTTTGATATAAAATGTAGGAACAACCGGCAGAAATTTTCAAACGTGCATATATGTAAATATTTCGCAATATACGCTTTTTCGGATCCTGATTGTTATTGAACTATTTTAAACTTATTTCGCACGATATAAAGAACGCTTCAAATTGTTCATTTATATAAAGTTTGTTTTTTACCATAATTTTACATGTATATATAAGCTGCACGTTTAGTAAATTAGCAATATTTTTAATTTTCGCATCAAGAACACTCCAAACTTCAACGAGATTTAAATTTGCATCTTAATAAAGTATATAATACATCACGATAATGATGTGCTACAGCAATTTCCGAGTTTTATCCGCGAGAGAAAGATTGCTTTAATATAGACGACAGCATCTCGATTCCGGGATACGAAGCCTTTGCTCGCAGGAGACGTCGTGAAAATCAAATCTCGTTCCGCGACATGTGTGCACCGACTTCTTTGTTCCCCCGTGAAAAACGGACGAAGCAATACACGTGCGTCGTGGATGCAAAAGAATCAGGAATGAGGAAGTACGCAGTCCTTCATTCGATAATCCTTGCACGACTTCTTTGTTGAAAGCTCAAGGATCGGTCACTTTGTCGTAGCAACATAAATACACGTCTCTCTAATTTATCGAGTCGCCTGGGGAAGCGACGATTACAAAGACGCTTTACTCGATCCCGTAAATGTAATCAAGCTGGATTACAGAGATTTAATATGCGCACGAAATAATCACAAAAATTAAATCTCCTCTCCTCAAAAGCACAAAAATCAACAGCTACAAAAAAATGAGTAACCATTGTCTTAATATTACTTTTAAAACACGCCCATTGTCTTATATTTCTGAGCTATTAATATTACAATACCTGTTTTTCTCGATTGTAATGTCTAGAAACAATTGCTACAGGCAATTAGAAAAAACGCGAATACCACAATTGTTTCTCTTTCTTAGTTCATGTAATATAATTACAATATGTAAACGGATACGATAAAAAAATAAGATTATAATTCACACTTTATTCTCCTTAGTTATTATTCGTAAATTATCAAGACGCAATAACATTCCATCTATTCTATCTGCCCTTTTTTATCTTCAACACAGCTATAGAATTGAATTAAAATTCATACGGAGTATTATCTGACCTCTATTAACATGCTTTAACGCTATCCGAGGGTAGTTTTTCATCAGAGATCCGACCAGTTCGACCTATAAAATTCTCTTTCCCCTTACCCGGCTGCGCGCGATACAATTAACGTTCGTATATAATTTAGATGCAAGCATTATAGACGCATATTCTCGAAATGCGAGGCGGCCACGCAATCTAAACTGGGTATTCCATTATGCTTCATAGAGAGACGGCGAGCTCATACGACGGGCGATACCATCGATCTCTATCGCGCGCACCACACGCAGCTTGAGCGCAGATCGTGAGAACGAGCGTTTGGCTTGCGTCAAGCCTGGAGATTCGTGTACA